AATATGCAATGCCGGTAATCTTCAAATTAACTCCGGAAAGTGAAGTTGCCTCAAGAATCAAGTGGGTTTTTTTCATTGGAGGAGGTATGGTGGTTTTTTTTCTGCCACTGTCTTGTTTCCGGATCCTTCTGAACGAAACTAAACCCCCGCAGCATGAACATTTCACAGCCTACAAGAGCCTGAGGAGCGGATAAAAACCCCTGAGCTTTAACCACTGACTACATAATGCAGAAGGTTTCTGGGAGGAAAAGGGGTTTGTGAGAAGTCGGGGTAAACCTCAAATGAGCAGATCCTCTGGGTGAGCGGCTCAGCGAGACAGCCTGGCTGCTCGCCGCTTGATTGGTCTCAGCGGGGCAAATGGGGTGGAGGGGAGAACCAAAAAAAACAAAAAAAAACAAAGCCCCCCATCCACATGCACGTGCGTGCATGGCCACGCACCGGCTGGCACACATGAAAGCCACGCACGACAGGAAAGGGCGGCCGCAGCAAAACATTAAGGCTCGTACCACCCGCATCCAAACACATCACACCCACATCACACCGACACACACTAGGAGCCTCACACCACAGCCCGAACACAGGGTGGAGGAGGACGGAGGTGGTCCGGGGGGGGGTTGACATTGCCTGCATGCTCAGCCTATTCAAAAGCTAATTCCCCCGCGCCGTGTTTCAGAGAGCCTGGGCCGGCCACCTGCACCGATGATGAGGAGAGGAAGGAGGGTGGGGAGGGTGGGACAGTAGGGGGGAAATAAAGGGAGGAGGGGAGGTAGCAGTGGAAGAATGACATCACCTCCCCTGAAATGTCACCATTATCTCAAGCCTCGGCTTAGCTGCCTACAGGGGTGACATCATCTTCTCTTCGCCCCTCCCCCCTCTGTTCTCGGCAAGGTTGAATGCGGCGAGGGAGCGCGTTTGTTTTTCTGCATGTGCAAGCAGGCGTGTGTGTGTGTGAATGTGTGCAGAAAATCGTTTTTGAGGGAAGCATGAGTGGATATTTGTCTTTCACGCCTTTAAACTGACAGAGAATAAAGCCGTCTTCAATGACACTGAAATGGTATTTGCTTCGTTTAGTAGTGGATACAATTATAATCAGATATTGTGATTCAGTTTTATGTTGTTTTGCTTGTTTTTGGCACATTTTACTCTACATCTGAAGTATATGATCATTATTGATGATATTTTAAGTCACACCTCATGTTAAAAAGACATTTTCTGCAAACATCTTCTCAACATCTTCTCTTTCTGCTTTAGTTTGTTGTTATTTTCATTTCTTTACGGGACTGGACCCAACACACATTGAACTTGTAATAGCATCAATGTAAACATGCTGGGTTAAACCATGCTGCGATATTCCAAAGGTTTACTGTTGTCACAAAAAAAGACTGGGATTGAAATTGTGTCTGCGTTTGATAGTATTTAGCCAAACAGGTTTAACGATCTTGTTTCGAGATATTTGTCTTTGAGATTTTCGCCTGTGTGAAGTCTTCCAATGCATTTTTTCCTTGGGTGCCCTGAAGTTGTGATTCATCAGCCGTACAGTCGACCCCTGCTAGGATTGACCTCTGTGGTGCTATTACACTATCTGATGCCATCGGCAGCTGACGCTCATAAAACCAAAGCACGCCAGCCATGCCATCGCTGCCCTTTGTAAATGTCTCAGCACTCCCTCGGATGTGCTCTCTCGCTGGACCACGTCCCGCAAATGCCTCGTTCGAACCCAGTCAGAGGAGAATGGGAGTGCCAGGTAAATAGAGTCAAAGTCTAATTGGAGGTTATTTTTGCATCCAGGTCCCCGTTCGCAGCCGTCTGCGAAACCCGAGAGAAAGCGCCGACCCCGAGGTGTCCCTGGAAAGTAAAATAAAGATCTGAAATGGGCGTCGACATTATGTAAGCAGAAAGCTTTGAGTTACCACACCAGAAATAACTTTATATTCAGACATTTATAACAGGTGTGAGCTGGAATTTAAACCTAATTTGAGTGCGAGGCATCCCTCAAAAATCCTTCGGTGGAAGAAAATCGACCACCCATTCGCATCATGTCTGTGAAACCAAAAAGGCTCAGTTTGAAGCTAAAGCCGCTATAATCAAAACTCTTATATCAGCAATGGGCCAAATAGAAGCGGAATATTTTAGCTTATATTTGGCAGATTTTTCTGTTATTGTCACATCATTTTGCTTTGTGTGTTTACTAGATGTTCATATTTACCTTTTGCAAGTAAAGTAAAACAAGATCTCATGTTTATTGCAACTTCCTTTACTGTCTTTACTCAACTTTTGTTTCAGTTTCCTTTTGCCCGTTTGTTATAATGTGATTTTTGTGTTTTGTAAATGCTCATTGTTTTTTAGTCACTAATGTAAAGCTTGTCTTTAATACGCCTCAGTGTAAATTGTGCTAAATGTCCTCCCTGGGATCAATACAGTTTATATTAATCTCCGTATGTTTTCACTGAAAATTGGACTCGAGATCAGTATTCTTCAGTTTTTTGTGTCATTTATAAGTTAAATGTAAGTATTTCATCTATTTAACAAAAGAAACAGCCGCATGAAGTCAACGGATTACCATTTAACACCACATTTCCACAGCATTTGTGATGTTATCAACCCGTGTTTACCAGTCTAACCTGTCTTTAATGCCCCGCTGGCTTTTTTTAATGCTTTTACTACCATTTAACCACCCCTGTGCCCTTTATTCTTTCCTCCTGGCGGTTTAATTGTATATCATTTCAAACAAAGGCTCTCTATTCAAACCACCTCTTTAAGGACACGCATGGGATGGTCCTGTGCTTTTCAGTCTTGTTTGCCCAACTGTAATGTGGGGCCCCCTGCTGCTTCTCACCTCTATTGTAATGCAGGCCAGGTTTATAATCCAGGGCCACTTCACACCTCCATGAACACTGTGGACACCCGCCGAGTGTGGAAGGGACTCAATGACCACGTCTTTACAGGACAAACTCACATAAACGCCGAAGACCCACACACCTGCTACCTAAACCAAATACCCGCCCCCCGAGCTCTGCTGCCCCACCGCTTTGTCTCGCAGGTGTCCGCTTCACGAGTCAAAGGGCGAGCAAATAGAGAGACGGGGACAAGTCACAACTCCCCGTTACTCAGAGGAGTGAGGTCAACAAAGCGTTGACCTCAGAGGTCGCCGCTGGAAGAATGTGGACTTAATGACCATCAGGGGAAAGATAAATATTCTAGACATCATTAAACAGACAGAAGGTGGGGCAAAGATTTCTGTAATGAGTTAGTAGGAGGTGGTGGTGGGGGGGGGGGGGAGCGGACACTTACGATCAAAGCATACCGCGTCAACCGCTGCCTCGGCCGGCGTCCAGGGTGGGGACTTTGGTAAGTAGGGTGGGATGCTTGGACAAGGGTGGGAGCCCTCGGAGCTTTTCACGACACTTTATCCCTCATGAAAGGGCAGCCGCTAAAAATAAGCCAAAAATGTTAAACCCTCAAAATGTCTTCATGGTAGAAAGAAAGTCCGTCATTTGGGTTTATGCATTCTAAACAATGTTTTATGCAACATCATATCACTTGTGTTGCGACTCCTCTTGTGGACGGAGACAGAACTGCAAACAGCTGCAGCATTAAAATGCTGCTTAACTACTTGCTTAAATCAATAATAATGAATGAACTTTATCTTAACTTTTGCTTTCTTTTCAGGAGTTTTAATAATACTCCAACATCATCGCTATAGGATGCTACTACTTCTGTCATCGCTGCACTTACTGGTAGACGACTACCTCCATACGCATTTATAGTACAAGTTCAAGTTTCTGTCTACTTGTTATTATAATAAAATCAAAGTTCCTCTCGGGATCTGCACTTAAGATCAACTGATAACTGCGCTGTCGGAAATGACTGGTACATGTTCCATTCTGTTGTCATGTTTTATACCCACAACAACAACAACAGGATGACTGGAGCAGCAGTGAATCATATTATAAGCTCCTTTGCTGTCGTAACACATCCGATGCTTCTCCCCCGGCTGCGTGCCACAAGTTGTGTGTCTCTAAATACCGCTCAATGCAGGGAGGTGGCACGCAGAGAAGGCCCAAGCGGAGGAGCAGGAGGAAGGGATGGCGAGGATTTAGGGGTTTCGGCGCTCTTAAAAGCGTCTGCGTTGAGCGGTGAACAGAGGAACCGTTGTATCTGCAGGAGCTTAGAAGAGCCGAGCCTGTGGCTGCTACTGTCTCAGAGGGTAAGAACTCCGGGCTTGAGGGGCACCTGTTGTGGGTTCTTGCCCTTGACGCAGCTCTCCGGTCTGCGGGACGTTGGGGTGCAGCTTGGTCTCATTCTGACCCAGACTTGAACTCCCTTCACAGCTGTCGCTGCTGCACACAGCTCCTCCACACTCCTCTGGCACAGAAAATAGCACTGGGCGCTTCGAGGAGGGGGAAGGAATGACTGAGTGAAAACAAACATGACGCTCTGAAAATCAATGTGTTTTTCACTTTACATGAAGAGGACCCTTTTTCTGCTGTTTTCTAACATATTGCATTAGGTGCAGTTACTCTTACGATTAAGTAGGCATTCCTTTTTTCAGTGTTTTTATAGTTTTCTTAATTCTGAAGCACAGAGAACGTGTAGTATATCGTTATTTCCTACCCATCCATTACATTATTTATCAATCTATCAGCATAAGCAGAAAGGCAAGTGAGTCTCTTACAGTCGGTTTACAAGTTCCTTCTTTTGGTTTAGCGCGCAGCGCCATCTGCTGTTCAGCAGGTGTAATTACATCAATACGACAACAGTAAAGTTAAGACGCCTGAAAATGTGACTTTTTTAAACGTGCTGCAGATGAAATACAAAGTGTGGTATTGTTGAAATCAGGTTGCCAAGTGTTTGCCATGTTGATTAAAGTTGGGTTTTTTTTTTACTTTTGTGCATTTTTCTACTAGCAATATTTTACTCGTGTGACCGAGCCAAACAAAGTGACACGAAACGTAATTCTATTTTTTCTTTTTTTGTTTAAATCTCGCGGGGAAGGAAGGGCGCAGTCGGGCGCCATATTCCTTGTTTATGAGATCTATGGAATAAGGAAGTGAGCCCACCTGAAGGCGCACTTGCACAGGTGAGGGAGTGGCCACCTGCTCGCTGTCGGGTCCGGACCGTCTGCGAGGAATAACACCTTCTGTCCAGCTACTGTCCCCCGAAGGGATCCAAACACAACCAGGTAAGACCAACTCCGATAGACGCGTGTGTTTATTACAGCGGAGGGATTTACAATTTACAACTTACAACACGAACGAGAAAAGAAATATAGACCCGGATTTATGCCAGTAAACGGTCCTCAACGTCGAGGTCGCTCGTGTAAGTGGCCACACTTTTTCTTAACCACAAAAATTATATTTCCACCTTTGGTGGGACCATTTAAAATGTCAAACTTGACTTTGGAAGCTTGCGTAATTAACGGTATTGCTCAAAACGGCTTAAAGTGAACACCCAGCTGCCATTTTAAGCGAGACCTTTATCAAAGCAAGTCCGTGCAGGTGGAGAAGCAGCCAGCCGCATTCCAGGGCCCGAGGTCATGACGGTGCAGTGTGCAGACCCCCAGCTGTAGTAAGCAGGCCTGTCTGTGGAATACCTGCCTGTGTTGACAAGTATCTGTACCAGGAAACCAAGCTTCGCTGTAACTATTGCACGTGTCTGTTTATTCAGAACCCGTCCGGATGGAATGGATCATTAATTCAGTGGTGTATGCGAGTCAGGACGGATTTTACCTATAAAGACGCAGCACAGAGAGGCTGAATTTGTATGGGAACTACATACCGTTATTACATGTAGTTCCCATACAAATTCAGCCTCTATATATAAAAACAAATGTGGAGATTATAAAAAACAAGAGCAAAGAGTTTACAGGTGAATCCTGGGAACTGAGATCCAAAAACAAAATCAGTACAATCAGAATGAAATGGAGCTTGTAAATTAAGTTAATCAATTAATAAAATGTTGTTAAATACTAAAAAATGTACATCACGCTATCCCAAAAATCCAAGGTGACATCTATGAAACATTTTTATTATGATGGGAGATGTTCACTTCAATAGCTGGTTCACTATCAAAATAGCTGCACAATATTTTTTTCTTTCGATCCACTATCGATCGAGTCATCTCTTCAGCTGCTGTGGAATTCCCTCCCTCCTTTTCCGACCTGTCACCCTGAATCGGTCGCTGTCACCCCCCTCCTTGGTACTGTGCGTGTTTACCCAAACAAACAACAGTTACGTTAAGAATGGTCGTACCGATGCTACAACCTTGACAAACGTCCCGGTGCTGAAAATTTATATATCCGTTGTGGGACGTGTGCGGCGTTGAAAGAGTTACTTCACTCCACCTTGGTTTCAGTTTGCGGTAGAAATCTCCCTCTTGTTGCCATAACAACTCAAGTGCCAGCATGACGGTGTGTGAGGGAAGACAACCACACGTCGTTCCTGGAAAGTGACGCTTTTTGTCCTCTTGGAAATATTTGAGGGTTGTTTAACAACTCATCGAGGAAAGGACCGTGTGGTCATCGGGGATTATAGATATATTTTCTTTTATTTATTCTATTTTCCAAAGAAAGGATGGACAATCTAAGCCCGGCTTCATATCTACCTGAGTGAGATCAGGAAAGCGGCGTTTCACAAGGATGGACGCATTAAAAAGAGAAGAGTCCTTTGTTTATTATCATTCGTGTGTGAACAGTACCTCAGTTTTGGCGCGATAAATAAAGCGTCCTTTTCTGATATCATTCTTAAATGAGGCAATGGTATTTAATGAAAAATGTCTAAAAGTCAAGGGAAAATACAGGAATTAGCAAACAAATACAAAATCAAATACTCAAAAGTATTATTTAAATCCATTCATATCTGATTAAATAACATTTGACTACAACTTTTAATGCCAGACCGTGATCCATGTTTATCAAAACTTGAGGAATTACACTTAAAAAAAATTATAATAACATGTATCCGTCTGAGCCATAACACATTATTTATTTGTGTCTCCACTAGAAAATTACCAATGTAATTGATATATATGTATATGTTTTTACATGAGGGTGAAATAATAGTAAATTGTCATTGGAAATGTATCTTCCAATCCAACTGAGCGGTCTGAGTTTGAGTGATAAAATTGAAACTGGAGAGAAATCGCGCACACTTATTACCTGAAGTTAACCGTAGGTCACAAGGTCACAGCGCCTTTCACAACTAGTCCAAAGCTTCACCATTCATCACTCACATGCAATTGTGACGGAGCAATTTGTGGCAATCTGCTCACCGGTAGTTTCTTCCAACGTGAACAGAGGAATGTATTTGATTTGTCAGGCCTCCCACACCCAGGTGATGGTGCACACTCTTCTTGTCTCTCTTTCCCTTTCTCATTTAACGCACACGAAAACACCCCCACCCACACACACACACACACACACACACACACACCCTCAGCTCTGCTGGGGAATTTGTGGCCTCAGGCTATCCAAACACAACCTCGTCCAACGCCGAGGAACCAACGCAGCTCCGGCTCCCTCGCAAGCGGACTTGACGGCGCCGAGCTCCGTTCGTGAGAAAACAGCATTTGTTATGACACTTTTTCCGCCGGACACGACTGCGAGGTGGGTGACTCGACGGGGCGATCCGCTCTCCCGGCCGCGTGCGGGTGCCTGCGCGCCATCGGGGACGTTTGATTGACAGGGCAGAGTATCGCTGGATACGAGAGGCTTATGTCTGGGTGCTCAGCGGCTCTCGACGGGTTTTCCTGATCGCTTTGTGCGACGCGTCAGTTGGTTTGCCGCCTTCCTGTTTGCCGGATGTCACCTGGAGTTCAATCAAACCGTGTTCAGGGGTTCAGCTTTTTCCACCTGACAAGGTTATTCTTTGTCCAGGTGTGTAGTTTTCCCCCTCATCATGTTTGTTTAAAGCTAAGAATTCACAGATGTTATCGTTGGCTTGGTGGTATTTCTTCGAGGTGTGTGTTAAAGAAAAAAACACTCTTCTTATCCAAGCGTTAGATAAGCAGATTTGATGCCTGTGTGGTAAATGTCTGGTTGAAGCTAGCCGCTTGTTAGCATAGCCTAGCACAAAGACTGGAAACCAGGGGAAACAGCTAGCCTAAAGCTGTCCAACAAAACATGTCCACCCAAAGTGTAAAATAAATCACTGCGCTCGACCCAGAAATCCCCTGTACGTGTTTAACTAACAAGACACATCATAGTAAATAGTGAGCTTTAGATGTGACTGTAGGCAGATTATTAGTGCTGCAAGAATGAGTCCTGAAACCTGGAAATGAGTCAGCATTTCTTTGTGAAGTTCATGCTGAACAAAACACATGTCATAATTTTTCTCCTTATATGAATCTCCTAAAATAATTTCCTCTGTTTGTGAAAAGCCAGTGCGATGCCGTCTTTCGGGTCGGCCTACAAAAATACATAATCTCTACAGCACTCAATCTTCACCCTCGGGGAGAGTTTGCTGTTTCCACTGTTTCCAGTCTATATGCTCTCAACATCTTAACATGGAACCGTTGATCTTCATCTTCAGTCTTAAGGCAAGTGCTCCTCAAAATGTGAAACGATTCCATCCCAGAAGGTCGGATACGCTGCTTCCCTCCAACATTGAGATGTTTTTCTACCTCACATTCTTGCATGAAGCACAAAATCCACGCAGGTTGCATCACAACACCCGGTTAAGGATTAGCACACCAGTTAGTCATCGCGCTGTTTGGTTTCCGACAGATTTAGGCGTTGTTCCGCTTTACCACATTGTCCCTGGTCTGTAGACATGCAGTGTAATTAAAACACTGCATATTTAATGCAATCTACAGTTAAATCTGGTGAGAAGATGGAATCTTTTCCAGTTTTCTTTTCCGATCGTCAGATCAGTCTCCACACTGCCACCGCGTTTCGTTATCAATCGCTCAAGCCCTCACTTGCAAAGACGGGTCAGGCAGGAATGTAACCAGCAGATCTTGGAATCAGATGAGGTGAGTCATGGACACCAAATGGCGCAAGAACACAGGCTGGAAATTTCAGCCTGACTACTGCTATGATGAAGCACTGAACCGTGTCGGCCACACCGTCTTATAAGGAACAGCTCGTCCTTTTCCTTCACTTCAGGGTTGAAGATTGCAACTTCCCTAATGTCTCAATACTCTTATTTTAAAGTCAGGATTCCATTGTTCTTCCTTTGTCTAAAAGGTGATGATATGACGGCGCCGACCCACTCGTGAGAATGTACGAGGTGATGTCCGGTGACACCCTCTCCTGGAAGGTGCCCAGTCCAAGAAAAAGCAGCTCGGGGTCCAGCCACGAGTCGGCCTTCACTGGAGACGGGGGGCCAGTCAAGATCCTCAAAGTGTGCTTCTGCACCAACAACAACCTGGGCAAGAACTTCAAGCTGGTTAAATGTGACAGCTCCTGGCAAATTAGGGTGAGAGTAAAACACGTAAAGACACGGGGAAGGGTCAACGCGTTTACAACGCCGTGGTGAAGATGGGGTATTTTAATTTGCCACATATTTTTTCACTTTTAGAGTTGACGAAGTGCAATTAAAAGAAAGGGATGACTAGAAGATTTTTCATATGAATAAACATTCAAAGATCCCGATCCGGTGTCCTTCAGGCCATCATCCGTTCCATCCTGATCTGCGGTCGACTGGGGCCGAACATCGGGCACGCCGGATGCTACGGCCTCCTGCTGAAGCACCTGAAGTCAGAGGAGCTTCACTGGCTGCACCCGGATCTGACCGTCGGGGAGGTGGAGCAGCGCTACGAGAGCCATCACGTGGAGGCTGAGTGGAGGTTCACATTCATCACCCGGACGTTTCGTGTCCCATTTGATCTTTTTGAAACCAGCGTGCAAAACTTTATCGGTTCTAAAGAGTTGTGATTTTCCTTTTTTTATTTTTTTCGCAGGTACGACCTTCGTATAAGATACGTTCCTGTCAATTTCTTGAAGAAATTCCAGGATGACAGATCCACGTTAGTGTTTTTTTACCAACAGGTAACGATCTTCAGTGTATTTTATTTTTTTTTACTTTGGTTTAACGGAAGGGGATGTTTTCACACTGTGTATTAGAGCAACTGTCATTGTAATGACGCTTTCCTTCACGCGTAAACCGTCTGTCATCACCAACTTTCCGCCTAAAGGAGTAAATGGCCTCGGTGCCGTCGGCCGGTGTCGTCAATATAAAAAACGCCTGTGTTGGCATTTTTTATTAACTTTGTTTTTTATTGCAAGAGTCAGGTTCTGCCGTAGTATTTGTTGTTATACATGACTTCTCTTTTTGAATCTGCGCCAGGTGCGTAGTGATTACATGCAGAGTTACGCCTCTAAGGTCAGTGACGGGATGGCGCTGCTGCTCGGCTGTTTGGAGATCCGGTGAGTCTCCGCACTGCTCTCACTCTTTTGCTTTTTCTCTTTTATAATTTGTGTGATTTAAATGCGCAGATTGGAAGAAGTCGGTTAAACTTTTTGTTGAGAATGTGAGCTTTGATATTAGTGGCTAGTGTTAATAATAGAAGATGTCCATGTTATGCCGTAAAGTGATTAAGTACATTTGGTTGGTGTTGAAATTCATGAGTTGCTGAGAGGTCTTCTTGTTTCAGGAGGTTCTACAAAGACATGAATGCAAAAGGTCTTGAGAAGAAGTCCAACTTTGAGCTGCTAGAGTAAGTTTTTGCTTCCATTGTTCTTGTAAGTGTAGTTTTGGTGACATAGTTTCACTTATTACTCTGGATGGATTGCTTGTGAGCCTTTTGGATTAATGAAATCCTTTTTAAAGCCCCACTGGATAGCGTTGCCACACCTCGTAGCAGTTTGACTACCTTTGTTTGATCATTTCAAAGAGGACATTCGGGACACAAGGTTTTAACCTGTTAAAGCAGTGCAATTTATTTTTTTATTCTCACTATTTTTCTGAATTTCCCTTCACAAATAAAGAAAAGAGGTCGGCTTGGACCTCTTCTTTCCTCAACAGCTGATTAACAGCATGAAGGTAAACAATCCAAACTTTAAAACCACCAACGCGACATCCTGCTCGTACAAATAAGGATACTTTTTTAAATTTCCCTGCTTGTGATCCAGTCAAAGCAGCTACGGAAGTTGATCCAGCAGACGTTCCAACAGTACGCAACCCTCAAGGAGGAAGACTGCATGATCAGGTTTTTTGAGACCCTCAAAGAGTTTATCAACTACGATGAAGAGGTTTTCCCGTGTGAACTTGTGGTGAGTCGCCCCCCCCCGAATCCAACGGTTGTCGTGGCGACGCCTCCGGACCCTCAATCCCTCCTTTACCGCGTTGATGTTACCAACATTTAACCGGGCTCACTTGTCAACAGCAAGGTTGGAGTCTGGCAGTGGAGCTGGTCATCGGTGGGAGGGGGATTCGTCAACGCACACAGAAGAATTCAGCGGTAAGCACGAAGATTTAGGTATAACCTTCAGAGGGCCTCGACCTTTCATCGTATATTACCTTGGGTCGTGTTGTGTATTAAACCTGCTTTGCTTTGGCTCCGGTAAGTCGTAGCCGGAGGCATTATGTTTTTCCGGCTCGAGTGAATTCCTTCAAATTTAGCACAAAAAAACAGTTTTTCAGGCCATGAAATCAAGAATTCACACACTGATGGGGAAACAGCTAACCTTGCTCTGTCCAAAGGAAACAAAATCCTCTATGCCTCACTAATTAACAGTGAGTTCTTAATAAATGAATTAGCAGGCTGTTCATTCAGTCCGCCTGGATGTTTCGGCTCTTGACATATTTATGCACAGAAACGTGTCTCTTGCCATCATTATATTACATCTAATATGAACATGAAATCAGTCCCACCACAATTTCACTCATTGCATTCCTCTCTTTTGTGCCTCAGCCGGTTTTTCTAGCCGACTTCAAACAGATCAAGAAAATCCAATGCTTATCTCAGAGCGATGGGAAGGCTCTCCTGGACCTCAGCGTGGAGGGAGCCAGACAGGTGAGCACCACCACCCCTTTGTACAGTACCAGCAAAAGTAAACAAATCCACGGTGGAAACCGTCTGCGCAGGACATTCGTCCGCCGCTCAAATTTTCCCTTGTCTCGTCTCTGCTAGCGGCTGTCGATCAACGTGGCGACGGTCCCCATGGCGGAGAACATGATGGACCTCATCGACGGCTACTGCCGCTTGGAGAAAGACACGGACGAAAGCGTCATCCACCGGCCAAACGCAGGTGTTTATGACTCGTCGGCCCCCCCCGGGAGGGGACGCGGGGGGACGTGCTGTGTTGTATTACACGTTAATTCTCACAACTCATTTCTATCCCAGATGCCAACGCGCGGTGTGCTCTGCCAGAGATTCCTACGGAGTGAGTGGCCCATTCGTTCTGGCTCTTGTAATGAGAGATTGGAGTTGCTAGAAGTCGGAGTCATTGATGAGAAATGCTGTTTTTATTGATTCATTCTGTCTTTCTGTGTTTTTCTCTGAAGCAAAAGAGACTCCGGCTCGGTCAGGAACAGTATGGGTGAGCTGACAGTTTTCATTCAACTCCATTTATAATGCAATACTTTTTTATCTTGCGAAGACAAATTGCAGCATATTGATCCTTTGTGGTTTCAGGGTCGGATATCTATTGTGAGATTCTCGATGAAAGGCCGACTTCAGGTCCGTTTTTTTTAAAGTTTGCACTCACGTCGTTTGCAGAATGATTAATGTGTGAACTGACTTTTAAACTTGAATACATTTAAAACTTTTCTTTAGTTGTTAAGTACGGAATCGACCGGAATGACATCGTCCTCGGCCGAATACTTGGTTCAGGTTTTTTCGGGGAAGTCTACGACGGAGTTTACAAAAAAGATGTAAGTATATTGATACTAACAGAAAAAAAAGGATTTAAAAACTGGTATTAAACTAAAACATGGTCCCAAAGTTGAAAATGTTCATTTCATGTGCATCAGAATTAAAAAATGATGATGATTTTTTTTAAAACAGAGTGGCGAGCGGATTAACGTGGCAGTGAAGACCTGCAAAGACTGCTCACCCGACGTGATGGAGAAGTTCATGAGCGAAGCGGGTAATTTGAAAACAAACCACATTTTAAGGGTATTACGTTTAACAACAATGACAAACACTTTTGCGTTTACTTGCCAGTAATCATGAAGAACCTCAACCATCAGCACATTGTCAAACTCATCGGAATCATCGAGGACGATCCCGTGTGGATCGTCATGGAGCTTTATCAGTACGGAGAGGTTGGTGTCAAGCTTAACGTCACCCTTTCCATGTGAGTGGGCAACTGAACCGGTGTCCAGTTCCCGAAAGAAGAAGAAGAAGAAGAAGCGGGACAAACGTTGTGTATTTGAATGCACTGTTTGCATTTGCAGCTCGGGAACTACCTGACAGAGAACAAGAATAAGCTGACCAACATTACTCTGGTGCTGTTCAGCCTGCAGATCTGCAAAGCTCTCGTCTACCTCGCAGGGGCCAACGTGGTCCACAGGTGAGGGGCTCCTTTTACTGTCCTCCAGGAGACGTCTGTCCTTGTCCTTTGTTCGTCCCGTATTTATTGATCTAACAGGAGACATTGAGTAAGTAAATTGAAACCCGGGCCTTTTAAGACTCTATGCAGAAAAACATGGGCATCGTGTGAGAGTGTAACCGTCCTTTCTGTTAGGGGACAAGTCACGCTGACCAGCTAATCCAAGCTGAGCCTGCGTGGAGGGATAATGTCTCCGCCAAAACTCCCGTTAGTGTGTAATAAATGAGGTCTTTTGTTAGTTCTCTAGAGAGCGAGAGAGGAGGCACAGCCTGTAATGTTCACAAGTTGCAGCTTGTTCTTGAAATAACTGGATGTGTGTGATTGGCTGCACAGTGTCCATTAACGGGGACATTGAAGAAAATGCAAGTTGACAGTCGATAGTTATTAAAAAACAACGACAACCTATAACTGCATCTGAATGTAGATGTTACGACAACGGAAAAACAACTTTTTTTATTGAAACTTGACATATTTTTGCCAAGACATACCATTACCGAAGGGGGACGTTAGCTGACAGAAGAGCGTGTTTCTGCAGGATGTTATCAACAGCCTTCGGCAGCAGAGCAGCCACTCTGGATTCAATCTCCCGTGAAGAAAAATACAGACAAAGGAAATGACTTTCTGGGTGGAAGATTCCTTTTGTATTTTTTCCTGCAATTATGGCAGCGCGGCAGTTGTCAAATTCAGGTCAACCAGAGCACGGCCATTTAATGAACATTGCTTGTATTATCTGCATTTTTATAATCTCCATCTGTGCTCAAACCTTAATTTTCTGTTTTGTTGTGCTCATGTTTCAGAGACATCGCTGTGCGGAACATCTTAGTCGCCAGTGCAGACTGCGTGAAGCTCGGAGACTTCGGTCTGTCGAGATACATCGAGCATGAGGAATACTACAAAGGTAAGAGACGACTGTTGTACCTAATTGTCTAAATATACAGTACATCCTTGAAAGAATAGACGGACAAATGAAGAGGGAACTAATCAAATAATGTAGTTGCCAAATTTGAAAAAAAACCACGTTTTTTTTATGTTGACCACATAACAACAACGTGTCCCGTCGTTCTTTGCAGCGTCTATTACTCGGTTGCCGATCAAGTGGATGGCTCCGGAATCCATCAACTTCAGACGTTTTACCACCGCTAGTGATGTCTGGATGTTTGGTGAGCTTGTGATACTCTTGACTACACAAAGTACACCACCTTCACTCAAAATGCACCAGCCAGCCGCTAAAATGACTTGAACTGATTTGAGAGACTTGTGCGGGCAATAGTTATATGAGTATAAATCAAACTGTCTACCATTAACATCTTAGATCTGGCTCTTTGTGTGTATTACTGTTCTTAAATGTCAGCAACAGAAATAGGAAATTGGCATATTTTGACCTTTGATGATTTGTTTCAACTCGAAAAGGGCAAAAGCAAACGAAGAAGAACATTACTGCACTTATTCATTCGTATTGATGTTGCAATTATACTGGCTTACATTATCCCCTAAAGCAAAATGTTTTCTCAAATAGAGCAAAACTTTTTTGAAAAGGTCGGTTCAAAATTTCAAGCAGAAATAATTTTACCGTATATACATGATTAAGTGTAATGCACTTGAAAGTGATTGATTCTGTGGATTATCTTCAGCACAATGCTGTTTGAAAAAGGTTTAATTGTGCATGGTAAATAATAAGAAGAAACATAATAATAGGAAGATGCACAGAATAACAATTGAATGTATCTATTTTGTCCTCTTCCTTTGTTTATCCACAATTACAATGAGGCTGAAGTGCTTCTCATGGTATTCATGGTAAAAAAAGAAAGCGGTTGCTGGTTCCGCTGTCGGCTTTGTTTTGCTGCGCTCTTGATCCTTTTGGTTGAAAAGCACCTCAGAATAAGCGCATGTCTAATAACGTTCTGTTTCTGCGTGTTGGCGCCGCTCGGCAGCCGTGTGCATGTGGGAGATAATGAGTTGTGGGCAGCAGCCGTTCTTCTGGCTGGAGAACCGAGACGTGATCAACCAGCTGGAGCAGGGAATCAGGCTGCCGAAGCCAGACAACTGCCCCCCTGCCCTCTACTCACTGATGACGCGCTGCTGGTCCTACGATCCCAGTGAGAGGCCCAACTTCACCGAGCTCGTGGTGAAGATCAGGTACGATGTTTTTTTTAAAAAGCTCTCATTGGACCATTTATTACAGTAGGTTGAATCTACACGGGTGGCCTCTCTGTATTAATTTCTAATGACTTTTCTACTTCCAAACGTTGTGTGTGTTTGCAGCCTTTGCAAACACGCACAAATAGTTTTAATATAAGACGCTCAATATATTGATTTGATCCGTTTTCTAATTGTAAAACCTGAGATGGGAGAATGGGAGTGTGCAATAAAAGCCTCTCTCCTCTCTGAAGGCTGCATATATAGTAACTTGTCTAAAATCTGTCAGTGATGTCCACAATATGGAGAAGGAGCAGGAAGTGGAGAGAGAGAGGGATAGAGCGCGCTCCACCAAAATATTTGACCCCAAGTTCAACTTCAACGAGCCTCCTCCCAAGGTACGGATCCCTGTCAAATTCCCGCACTGAGATGTGAAAAAAAGATACAATGTTTTATTATTCACATCTGGAATTTTTCCCGCAGCCTTCCAGAATGAAACCAGGCCGCTTCGGGAACACGCTCAGTATTGGACTACACATTCAGGTATTGCAGCATGACCACCCTCACAATGGCGGCCTTCACTTCTAAAACCCCGAAAGTGACGTAGCATGTGTCCGTGCAGCTGAAGGAGACTCTGTGTGCCAGCTCGCCTGACCTGGCCAGCCCGTGTGACTACCAGTCTCCCGTCGACTCCATGGGCGCGCTCGCGTTGCCGGCCATCAGGTCCCCTCGGCGCCGCAGCTTCGGGGTGAAAAGACTCTTTGTCTAAAAAGCGTTACATTGGAAGTCACGTGCGCTGTCAAGTCAACAACGAAGGCAATGAGTTAACCCCCCGTTGTCCTTGTGTCCCTCTCCCGTCTAATCCCGCCCACTTCAGGAGGGCGAGTTTTCCCGAGTGGAGGTGAACGTCATGGAGGACGCCACGCGCCTCTGGCAGGAGGAGCGGCAGCAGATGCAGAACACCCTGCGCCGGCAGAAGGAGCAGATGATGGAGGACAAGAAGTGGCTGGCGAAGGAGGAGAGACTCCTGGTGGGAAGCAGGGCGTCGTTAGCCTTTGTCAACCCCCTCCCCGTGCCCCCGTGCCCCCCCGCCCAGCTCACCGTGGCCCTGGAGGCCGCGTGGAGCGAGGGCCCGTTAAACAATAGCGAGCCGCTCGTGCGCTCTCGGCGCCTTGATTTGAGCGTTTCCCTGGCAACGGTTGCAAAGGGGGGGTCCATGTCCGTGTTGCATGAAATGAACCTGCCTGTTCTTTTGCAGGACCCCATGGGAGCAGAGGAGGCTGCCGGCACAGCGGTGGGTGCACGCCGACACGCGCTTGATGACTAAATGTTTTTTGGCATCGCATTGTGTATCACATTTGTGGGCCCAGTTTGAACTCAACGTATTATTGGTCCCATTAGCGAGCAAATAGTCAGCATGACGCCGTTTGTGTGGTCCGCATGGTATTTCAAGCCGAGCGGAATGGAGTGCAGTAATGATTGTAATGTATTTTTTAATGGTTCTAGATTATGATTGGTGCGTTTTTTTATCAATTGCAGCGTTTGTACTTTAAACGCGAGTTTAAAGACTAGATGTCAACAAATAGCAAAGAAACCCAAATATTAACAAATCTTCTTGTTCTGTTTCTGACATCTTATGATTAGATATACAGATTTAATTAGTTAATTTACGGTCTTGTTATCTTTTTGGACCTTAAGTCATCAACAGAAACCAATATTTGGCAATATTTTCTTTTTATTTACAGATTTACTGTACATAAACATTATTTTAAAGATATTAGACATCCATTTAAATAATCTTGAAGGGCGGCAGATACAGAAATTGATTTCGTAATATGTGACATTTTCTCGTCCTCATGAGATTAATCTTCTTTTCTTTTTAGTCCCCTGAAGGTGATGCAGAACATTGTAAGTGCTTAAAAGGAATAATAATTCTGTCGTTCTGAGCACTTTCTTGTCTCTGAGCCCTCCTGTCTCTCATCTTTCTGACGTGTAGCAGCCCCAGATAAGCCCCCGAGGCTCACGGCACAGGTGATTTATACTCTTAATAATAACATATAAGTCAATTGTTTCATTAGATCGTATTAGTTTTTAAATAGAGACGAGGGTGAATGTTTTAATCATTAAAGCGCATTATTTCCTCCTGCTAAGCCGACGCCCACAGCTGAGCTGGACCGCTCCGAGGACAAGGTGTACCAGAACGTCATGGATCTGGTCAAAGTCGTCGTCCAGCTCAAGAATGACATCACGGAGGTGCCGCCGGAGAAATACATCACCGTCGTCCAGGTACGCCGGAGCGATTTTTAACAGCCCGCCGCTACATGAGAAGCGGATCGATGGTGTTTGTGCCTTGTGGCGGAAAAACAAACTCGAGTCATTGCGCTGATTCATTTCCTGCATCGATCTCTTCCCAGTCTGTGGGGATGGCTTTACGACATCTGATCCGCAGCGTGGATGACATACTGCCCACCTTACACGAGTCAGTCAGGACCGAGGTGCAGTATATTTTCTGCAGCGTGTTTGCTGTCTTTTTTTTATCATCTCTTTATTGATTTTTTTTCTTCTTCTTTTCCTCCTTAACCGTTCTTGCTGTTTGTCCCAGAGACAGAAAGTGACAGAACTCCTTTTCAAAAACAAAGCAGCAAAGAGGAAATTACTGTTTTTAGTTTTGTCATATTACAACAGTTTCCTTTTACAAACTGAAACTCCAGCAGCCAAATGATATTCAGCAATCAGTGGTTTTATTATTTTGCCCCTCTGCTTTTCCCACTGTGACGCGTTCAATCGGCCTCCATGACAAAAGAGCAGCGCTGCCATCTGTGATGTTTGTTTACCGTCCCCACGCAGATCGAAGGCACCCAGAAGCTGCTGAACAAAGACATGGCGGAGCTGATCAGCAAAATGCGGCTGGCCCAGCAGAATTCCATCACCTCTCTGAAGGAAGATTGTAAAAAGCAGATGTTGACCGCGGCACACAACCTGGCCATGGACAGTAAGAACATGTTGGACGCTGTGGACCAAGCCAGAGTCCGGGCCAACTTGGCGAAGCCGGTGGCCCCCTAGTGGAGACAGCAAGCGCTTCTTTTCAGCTTCAGGCCCGTGACGCACGTCTGTCAGTAAGAAATAACATTTGCACAAATTTGAGCATTTCTGACGTCATCAAACTGCTTAAGTTGAGACATGGTTGCAAACGTGTTGTCTCCTCCTTCGGAAATGAAAGTAACAAACGTTACAGACGTGGATGATACATTTCCCTGCAGGTGAGATCGCCGCATCTCGTTTTATCAGTAATAAGTGTAATAAGTGTTGAATGAACTACGCCACAGTCTTATAAGCTTGAGTTTACACAACAAGGCTGTGAAGGTAGACCAGTCGGCATGATGACATTTTGTAGTCTCATCTATCCTCCTTTTTTAGCTTCAGAATTCCCAAAGGCTATCCACTGACAATCTCGTACCGCAGGACATTAAAATATCAAAAAGCATTTCTATCCACAAACCACAAAAGCCATTCAAAGAACCCACTGACCCTCAAGTACAAAAGTGCTGCTAACGCTTTCCTGCAGCTCTGCATGACTCAACATTTATCTGGATGGATAAGTCCTGAACTCCAGTTTTAAGTTGTACAACTGTGGATATGGACAACAAGAAAAAAAAGTGCATGTACTTAACGAGGTAGTATGTATACTGAAAATAATGGTCGATAAGCATCATATTTACGATGCATTCATTTCATGATGACTTCATGTAATGGTCACTGTTCTCATTTTTGATTTATTAACTTGATTATCTGTGCAGGAATTGAATTGTTCCCTTAAATATAAGCAAATTGTTTAATAACGGGATCTGAACTTAAACATGAGTAAAGGGTCTAGTCTTTCACACCTGAGTGAAATGTTGACATTATTCAACCAAATGGTTTGAAGAACATTCAACTGTTCAGTGTTTTATATACGTAGTAGATATCTCAAGTGTGAGACTAGTGTCCATGTCCATTTCTAGCAAGTAAATCATGTGATCTAAAAATAAATATGACATATGCTTCTCGACATGCCTGTTTATTGAAACGTCTTGCTGTTGAATATTTAAACCTATATGTTCTGCGTTCAGCAAGGACAGCTCACTGGTCATTGTCCCACTCAATAGACACCCAAGGTTTCAAGATGATATTTATTACATAGTATGATCATTCAAAAATCTTTTTATCATGGCAAAAGAAAGCGGGTAAAAAGGAGAAACTCTCCAAATCAGTGCAAATTACCCCAGTTAGTGCGTCTGGTCCAGTATATTATCGACTCCCTGTACAACATGCCACTGCTATTGGAGCTGTTTGGCTCCTGTCCATTAACCGCTAGTCTCAGTGTCATAGCGGATCCCCGCATCACTATTTAATGTAATGTACCGGTAATAAGATTTACATTTTTTTAAATTTAAAATTTTTTTTCATGCTAAAAGAGTAAACATACTAAACACTGGTACGTTAACGTACTAGAATTAGCATGCTAACATGCCGAATCCTATGTTGTGCTACACGTTAGCATGTCTGCGAGCCGGTGTTAGCATTCAGGCCAAAGTAACATTACAGAGGAAGCCAACGAAGCGAGTACATCCGTTTTTCCCCATCGCGAGTCCTGAGGTTCGTCTCACACGAGCTAGATCATGCCGGCTAGCCAAGGGGGCAGGAAGAGGCCGATGGTCCCAAGAAGGCACACGATGATGAACATCCACAGGAAGATGCGGTCAATCACCATGGCGACGTACTTCCAATCCTCTTTCACCTGCGTGGAATTACGAGCAACAGAAGAGATTAAGCAAGAAACACAAAGTTGCACAGGGAATTCTTATTGTGATGTCTGCAGTTAGTATGTTACTAAACAGCTACACTCTGGCAGTTGTGGATATTTGGACAAAAAATTCTGGTGTCTGTAAGTCAAATATTTACTCTTTTAGCTTTGATAATTTACATTATGTAAATGTCATTGTAGAGCACCCGTTTATCTTGAAAACTAATAATTGACTTGTCATCCATCTCAGGATGGGAAAAGTGCCTTTTAAGTGCCGTTCTGCTGTTAGCAGTTGTGGTGTTTCGCTGATACTCACGCTGAAGTCGGCGTCCTCGGCCCTCAGATGGTCTGCGATGTAGTGCACCCCTTCCAGGGCGCGAATGACACTTGGTGAAAGCAGGAATGTGGAGTCTGACACCGCGTTATCAGCTTTAACGGCCCTCTGGGTGAGATTGACTCTGGAGCCTGTTGAAAGTCTGTTAGTCCCTGCAGGGCCTTCCTGCTGGTTCTGGCTGTTCTGTGGGTTTTTCGGTTGGGGCGGTGGGGTCGCACCCGGAGGTCTGGGCGAAGGAGGGCGAAAGGAGAAATACGACGTCAGCGTTCCCAGCTCCAAGTCCTCGTAGGAGCTCCTGTCGGGGTCCTCCGACGCGCTCCCACCTCCTGACCAGGTGGCCGAGGTGCTGAGGCAGTTGCTGGGCCGCTTGTACCCGCCCGCCCGTCCCTGCCGCCGCACCAGAGCCGCGTCCTGCTGCATCAGCGCCAGCCGGCGACGCCGGACGTCCGGCGCGGGCCGCCGCATGAACAGCCAGCGCGGGATCAGATTGAGGAACACGGAGTGGACCCAGTGGGGCATCTTGTGGGTGCTGGGCGAGCGATGGTGCACGTTGAGCACGAAGACCGTGATGACGATGGAGAGGGTGACGAAGATCATGGTGAAGAGGAGGTACTCGCCGATGAGCGGGATGACGAGGGACGTGGACGGTATGATCTCGGTGATCAGGAGGAGGAAGACGGTGAGGGACAGCAGCACGGAGATGCACAGCGTGATCTTCTCCCCGCAGTCCGAGGGCAGATAGAACACCAGAACGGTGAGGCAGGAGATCAGCAGACAGGGGATGATGAGGTTGATGGTGTAAAAGAGGGGAAGCCTTCGAATGATGAAGAAGTAGGTGATGTCCGGGTAGATCTCGTGGCAGCAGTCGTACTTCTTCGTGTTGTATGTCCCCACGGCGTTGATGATGGCCCACTCGCCGCTCTCCCAGTAGTTGTTCAGGTCCACCGTGTTTTCCGTGCGCTCCAGGTCGATCTTGGCCTTGTCGTACGTCCAGGAGCCAAATTTCATTTTGCAGTTCTGTTGATCGAAGGGGAAGAAGGTGACGTCGATGCTGCAGGAGCTCTTGTAAATGGCAGGAGGGACCCAGCGGACTTTTCCGTTGTGGAAGAGGTGAGCCTTCGTCATGTGGGTCACAGCGAACTCTCCATCGGCGCTGGGGAAGCAGAGACCGCAACTTGAAATATCTGGGAACTACGGCTAAAATAACCAGAGAAACACACCCGACCAACCCTTGTGCTGAAAAAACGATCTTACCTCACTTTAAAACTATGCAGTGTAAAAATATTGATTCATTCTAATAATGATCTTCTCCAGTAATCTCCTCTCCATTCATCGCTTTAAAAACGTTACGATGAGTCCTTATCGTTCCATCAGTTTCACAGCTTTTTAATTTCACTTACAGATTGTGATCACAGCGGCTCGACGGAGCAGAACTCCATCATCAGCCGCTCTCGGTTTAATCTCCTTCTCGAGGTGGATTTAGGCGAAGGGAGAGCTTTCTCAAAATCTATTTCACACTGAAGCAACTGCACCTATGAAGGTGGACAGCGTCAACACACATGAACCCGCGATGCGCATATAGAGGTGCAGGTAACAGAAATGTTCAGCAAAAGTGTAGAAATTTGACCGTAGGAGCAGAACGTTTGATGACCACTAGATGGGGCCATTTTCATTCCATCCACCACCCAGTAAGGAGGCACCAGTATGAGCGTAACGTTACTCGTGTCTTATGTTTGTCTGCAATTCTCCATCAGTATCCACTGCATGTCATGAAAAGTAGCTGGCTTGACCCGATGATACAACAGCCTCAATGACCTGTTCCGTCTGAGCGGAGCTGTGTAGATTTGTCAATTAATCGCAAAGCTGCTTAACAAAAACTGAATGAGCAACAATTGGAATTATCAATGTATCATCTGGGCAGCAGAAACAGATACAATTATGTGGTTAAAGCTGCTCTGATGTGAATGTCTTATGCATTAATGTGTCTCGTATGACAGTTTCCCACACTCACTTGTTGTAGAGGACAATGTCCGGGACCCATATGAGCTCCGATGGGACTCTTATAGACGTCACATTGTCATAGTCAGACGGCTTCCAGCGAAGTTTGTAGTCATTCCACTCCTAAAAGATACACACAATAGCTTTTGAGGACGGCCATGATCCTTGATGCGCTTTCAATTCATCATAAATGTTGTCAAATGAGAACTCTTAAGGGCAGTTTTCTATATTCTCAACATTTTAAATCACAAGACCTCCTCTGAGAAAAAGAGAAATCTTAATAATAAATCAACGCTGACACATTTTTCTGACCTGTTTAAGCCACACGTTGGTTGTCATCATTTGGTTCTTCTCATCCTAGTAGACAGAGAGAGAGAGAGATACAGTAGAGAGTTCTGTCTGTCAACCAAGGCCAGAGAAATATATGACAGAGAGCGTCTTGGAGGTTTGTCAAAGAAAACCCAAATATAGCTTGCAGCAACTTTACTTCAATTACCTGCTGGATGCAAACAGTTTTTCTCCGGCAGGGCGGAGTGCATCACGTGGGTTTCCTAGGTTTGCTTTCCACACGTTTGAAAAACATTACGAAACCGAGTAAAGACGGGATAAAGTTCCCTAATGTAACAGATATTTAACACACTAATTAGTAGTCTGTAGTGTGTCTGTGTGTATGCAGGTTTTTTCCGGTACAGTCCAACCAATCGCTGCTGAAATTCTTCATCTTTAGTAAAACTTCATTTATTTAAAACCATATATAATCCCATTAATGAAGTCTCTGGTTCACCTCCACCTCCATTAATGTTTTCATGTACGAATTGGACGAACACACAGACGCGTCGACTCACCACATCGATGAGCTGTGCGATGGACAGTCCGAACTTGACGATGACCACGTCGGAGATGTTCGACACGGGCCTCGACCACTTGTTGTAGCCGGCGAACAACGTCTTGAAGAGGTCATCCTCGGCGTGCGAGTGGGACTTCTCGTGACAAAGAACTGCAGACACATTAAATAAGATCATCCGAAGCGGTTCATATTTGATTGTATAATAACAAATACATGTAAAGGGCCGACTGCTGAAAACCAGGAGTGAGCTGCACCGCATGTGAGGATCATGTGCATGTTCTCTCATCCGCGTCTCCTCTAATCCTCACTTAACAAACTGCACCGCGTCTCGCCGTGGCTTCTGGGCGTGAAGGTGAGTTGTGTTGAACATCTCGCGGGCCTCCTTCGAAACAGCCGAGACCTTCTTTGGTAAAGTCTTATTGACTTTTTCCACATCTCAGCGAATCTTCTGATCCCTTGATCCGAGCTCCCCACGCGGGTGTCGTCCGCTAAAAACCCTCTCGAGGTGAGCAGGTGCAGGATGTGAAGTTTTTCTCCCCCTCAGTCGGCAGCAAAACTATTTCAGCTGCAAACATCTCTCAAACGTTATTATTATGAATACGAGAGGCGGCTTAATCAAATCGATTTGGAATATGCCGGCTAGACAGATTTGCGTACGAGCTCAAACTTGAGTCGTTGTATTGTTTTTTCTGCAGTGAAAAGCGTGCATATGGACAGCAAATGGCTCCTATTGGGGAATACGGCCTCTGCCTTCATCAACACAGTCAGTCAATTACACACATCACTGCTTGCTTGTGTTAAGTAGAGGTGCGCTAATTTCTCATCAGTCAAGAGTGTTTATTGCCGAGCGGTCTGCCACTCTGTGTTACAGCTCATGCATGAAACAATTACCTCACTTTTCACTTGAGCTAGAGGCTGCTGATAGCCTTATTACATGTGTGCAATATATTCCCGAATCACTACTTGATTTATGAAACCCTCATTTTTTTTAACGAGCTTTAAAACAATGATCTGTTTAAACATTAATGTTGAACTTTTATAAAAAGGGCTTGATAATGATCACCAGTACGATACGTACTGAGTGGGACCTTTTAAATCTTCAAAGCTACTTCAAGGGACTTTATTATCAGGTTGATTTTGGCACTCCCTGTGGACAAAACGCCCCAATGCACCAGACTCCCTTTAGAAAACCTCTCATTTTACTCCACCTGTGTCCGACAGTCTGATCTGTTCAGTCTTGGTCGTACCGAGCCTCCTCCCTTCCTGTTCTCCACCACCACAATATAGAGGTGTAGCCAATCTACTCGCTGACGGTGTTGTCTAATAATAGAGGTCATATAGAGGGGCCCGTATTTAATTAAGACCATTTCATAACCAGTTAAAAGTCGCTGAAAGCATCTTCAAATAAATATATTAGCACCATTTACTTTATTGTTAAGGAAGTAAATGATTTACTTAAACAACGTTCACAGTTTGTGTGCGATCAAATTGCACTCATTAATTAAGAGAGATCTCTCCTGGGATTTAAGTACGTATTTATTGAAGCGTCTTGCCTCAAGAATCAATACTTAAAACTAAAATCAATAGAGACACCATTGGGTTTAAATGCAATTAACACTCCCTCCGGATCTTTGTTTGACCATGTGAGGAGGTGATGCAACCCTCATGAGGTGCGCTTCCATCAAAAAGTCCACCTCCAATGGTTGCCAAGGCCACGTCATCACCTGGCCATGGGGGGGGGGTTGTGCTTCTGATGACCACAGTCACCAGTAGCTGGTCAGTGGAGGATAACAGGTGAGGGGCTTAAAACGTTGCACAGTTAAAGATCCTTAGCACTGCAGATCTCACAGAGAAATCCTGCAGGAATATGCAGATGAAGTCTGTGCAACAGTGTGACAAATGTGGGCTGTGGACAGAATACAAAGCGACAATTTAGACCACTTCTCATGGTTTGTAAAAACTAAAGAAAGAACGAAAGAAAGAAGGAGAAAGGAGGACGTGTATGCATATGCAATAATTGCCGTAGGCTGCTTGGCCACATCCTCTGCCATCACGGACTAATTTAATTCTGGCAAACAAGCAAACACCAGAGACTTCTTATCCGCCGTCTTGGCGTTCAGGGCGGCACACGCTCATCTGGCCGTGCATCTGGGGAGGGACCAGATGTGGGACCTGACAAAGGAAAGGCTCCTCGGGGCGCCATGGATCGAAGGCCCCTCCTGCCAACAGAGACTTTGAAACGAGATGACACCTTTGACCTCCGGCACATCGCGGCGTGCGCGCGTTGTACCTCGGCCAAGCGCCCCTTGGCGAGGCGCGGGGAGGACACTGAGCCGTTTAGACGACAGAGTCAGCAGCTTTTCCAGCCAGGGGCCGCTCTCGTGAAATCGGGGCTGTCGGAATTTTATTTCCTAAAGTAAAAAGTTCACTTGAAAGACGACGGCGCGAAAAGACGTCCGCCGGTTGACTGAAACCGCAGGAGTCGATTCATAAAGCGGAACTCTGCCAGTGACAAGAGGAGATTGGCACGACAATCGAGCACCTGCTCATCTGATTGCTGCAGCATGTCAAGAGAGCAAAAGCCCATTTAAACCCTCTCGCACGTGCAGACAGGAAGACGTATTACCTGAGACCTCTTGGTGAGCAATATCAGGTCTACTGGCAGACATTAGCTTTATTAGGTTTACTGTCTCAGAGGAGTAAAATAACTAGAAAATAGAAAACTAGAAAAATAAGTGATTATTAATCAGTTGCCAACTACTCAACCTTAAAAGACATTCTTATAAAAGTCTTCTTGTCTTGTAAAATATGCACAATGCGTCTAGTAAATTTACAGCTAAAGTACCTAACTACCTCTGGGGTTGAACCCTAAAACTGAAATTCTGACTGACATTAAAACAGCTTCTGTGGCTTTTCGAGTGGAATATTTTCTCACACTATTCTAAAGGATTGGTGCATATTTTCTTTTCATATTTATTTGACTTATAAATGAGCACAACGCCAGCTTTGTCTGATAATGTTTTATTAGGAATAATTGGCGTGGATGTGGAAGGTGGCGGGTTCCGGGATCCACATTCGGCGGGTTCGCGCGCGCGAGTCGAGTCGCCCTTTCCCGACTGTCGCGAGGGGGGTTTATTATTTAAAAGAAAGAGAAAAGCATTGTGGGTGTTTTTTTTTGGACGAAAGAAACGCACGAAGGTGTCGAGACTCGAAGGTGAGTTTACAATCAGCTGCTTCTGCGCCTCGTTACTTTTCAGTTATTCCAAGTAAATCACTTAGAATATACAATATAGCGCATATAAACATTTCGAGGCGCTCTGACTGGCAGTTTATGAACTATTTCTCCTTTACATTGAGGCTATCATAAAGAAAAGGCGGTTTAAAGGAGGCGCTTACCTGTCCGACACAAGAGCAGGTAGAGAAAAGGCGTCCTCGCGGAGAACAGGTGGTTGTGTCCCATCTTGAGCTCTTCCACTTCGGAGTCGCACTTCGCCGGGGAGCACGGAGGCGTTTTCTTTCCGCCGTCAAAACGTTACCTTGAAACCGTAATTTGTGAGAAAAGTCCGTCATCTTCGCGGCCGGGAGGCATATCAGGACAACTGCAGGCCGCTGCCGTGAGCAGCGTTTTGTGGGCGGACGGTGACAGGGACGAAACTCTTGACTGAATAAGTTATTTCCCCTAAAGCTCTGCGTCCACACGCGTCACTCCTCACACTTTAGCCGCTTTGCTCCAAACGGGAGGAGAGCGAGCGAGCGAGCGACGCGCCTCTTGTTTGCGCGCTCCGACGCGCCGCGATCCATCCGGTGCCGAATCACGGAGCCGCTCTGTGACGCCCCGTATCTCACCTCTGCTCTGCTTGGCGGATTTATTTACAAGAGCATCATCACACTGGCTGACTCAGATCTCGAAAAGTTAACTCAGGAAAAATAGTCCGGTTGAATCGCTGTGTGTATCGTTTCCCAACAATTCCACCTTTCTTTTTTTTTTACGCACGGTGGGAACGTTTTACGCGTCCTTGGTGCCGCGCCTTAAGACTTCGATAGTTCTTTTCCATTATTAGAAATAGGGTCGATTGCGTCTGTCCGGTCCGACACATCTGAGTCTCTCATCTGGTACCTATAGTCCCCCCCCCCTCCACTCCTCCTCCCCCCTTTCCAGCCTTTGCTCACGCGCGGGCGCACACTCACACAAAGGATTCACCGTAAAAGTAGTAAGTTGCATGTGGGGGACGTTTATCGGGTTCGGGACCAAGTTTAAACACTTGGTAAAAAATATATATATAAATAGTTTATTTGTTATGTAAAAATGTAATGATGTAAATACGTGTCCGCTTGCAAGTGAAACATATATATTTCTGTGGCAGGCAGCTAGAGGGCAGACTAGGGGAATAAATGTGCCTGTGAAGATTTAGTCCCCTTTAAACATTGATATGAGCAGAGATGAGACAGCTCGACCAAACATGGAGGAAAATAAAACAATGAATAAAATATACTTCAATATACATTGTTGGAATTCATTACACATTTTATGATTTCGAAGGTGAAAGCGTTCTCTTTCTTTCGCAAGTCCTGGCTCGACTAAAGTGACAATAAAACAATGGAGGTTGATCCGCAACAAAAGCACGTTTCACATGACATTGTTTTTCTTCTCTTTTCCGATCTTACGGTTTAAAAGGTGTTCCTTGTTTCGTAGGTGCTTTTCACGATGTGTTTCCTTTATTACTTCCTATTCACACACATTTCATAATTGAGAAAATATGTTCCCTCATCCACAGGCTGTTCTCCAAACAACAGATTAACGACGGATGTCACAGCTTGACTTTTTATTGTTACAAAAACACATTTTCCCTCTGGAAGCCACCAGTCATCCTAAAGCGTATCCCGGCCCTCCATCCTCACCCTGGAACCAGATGGTCCTCCCGTCCCTTCTTCTGCAGAGGACAAACACGGCCGTTGTGTTTGGTCTCTGACGGCCAATCAACTTGGCTCAAACCAGCACCACATACTGTTACCACATTTGAACCCAACCATTCCCACAAATGGCGCCTGGATGGAAAATAACATTTAATAGGAGTTTTTAATAGCATTTTCTTTTGCTCAACAATGATTTCTTTGCTTTGCAAATCCTTAATTATCTTAACCTTCCTGTCAATTACAGTTGAAGTAATGCCTGACGTTTACATATTGTTTGATCTTAATTCACTTAAAATATTGGATCGTAGAGCTTCTGGTCTCACGCGTGAAACATCCTCAGTTGGAAGATGACAACGGACCTCTAACTTTTCCCGACACTTCCTTAGCGATGAATCTTGTGTCTTTCAGCTGCTTGCTGAACGAAGCGTGCAGGGCCTGCGAGGACGTCTCCAGCCGGTTGGCGATGTCTCCGGCAACACGGAGCAAGTCTTCAAAGGCCGAAGCCCCGTCCCGCATTCTGCTCCAGAGAGAGACGGACAATCCGCAGGGACGGCAGGGAAGGAGCCATCATATGCGGAGAGAGACGGAGTAAGTGAAAGAGAAGCCGAGGACGTTGAATACATTACATGGGGTGTGATGCACACGGCTGCTGATATTGCCGGTTATGTAGTGGATATAATTGTGTTAAGGGGGAGACACATAGAAGGTGTAGAGCGAAGCTCCACGGTGATGAATAACTTTTGCAAACGCATAGAAAAATAGTCAATTTAGAAGTGCACCATAACGTGATAATGATATCTGGTTGTGTGGATGTGAATGCTCTTTAGGGTTCATGTAGCAAACACTGATACCAATCTGGAGCGCCAGCAGGGACACAATGCAGGGGCCTCGCGACATGCTATTGCTCATTTCTTTTGATTGACGTGTATTATGGAAGAGCGGACGGAACAGCAGTCATCTGCACATTTATTCAATAAAATGAAAAACGGTTGCCTGTCTTTGCTCTCAATCGAACACAGATGTTGGCTCCCAGTTTCTCCAATTTCTGTTTCCAGTATTTCCTTTTATTTAAGTCTTCAGCTTGCAAGCGAACCCAATTAGAACATATTCTTTTGTCAGCTTCTCCCTTCACATTCTTGCCTCAACCCTTTTCTGAAGCCGGAGGACAATCTCATTCTGCTGAATTTCTTGAAAAAAGCAGATTCCCCACACTCACCTCTGCATTCCAGCGCTCGACTCCTCCCCTTCCAGCTGCTTTTGCATATCCTCCTCAGCCTTCTCCACCACCTCGTGGCAACTGCTGTTGTCCTCTGCGATGCCAACGACATTTTCCCTAATCAGGTCTTCGTAGGTCTGATCTCCCAGCTCCGCCCCCACAAACTGCTCCAGGTTCTCTATCACCGCCTTGTTTGCGTGCTGGACGGCCTGCAGATAGGCCAGCTGCTCTCTCTGGGCCTTCAGCCGTCGAGCCGAAGTAGCCGTGGTGCTGAAGTGGACCGAGCACTTGTCCGGTTGAGGCCCGTACCGCAGCTCCGGGGAAGCGGGTGGTGAGAAAGCTGCTGATGTCATCCAGTCCTGATGGTTTCCTATCCTCACAGGCTCGTCGCCGGCTGCCCGAGATGTTTCATTGGTGGCCGTTATCGCCGGCTCCATTTCAAAGCCCGAACCCCAATCTCCGCTTTGGCAAAGCGTCGGGGTCGCCATGGATACCCAGGCCAGGACGAGGTGCGTCCAACAACACCACATGGTAGCCTGCAAAGAGGAGGAGGTGAGCGACTTGATCAACAGGCAAAGATGTTTTAGGAAATATGCTGCTTGTCGTGAATGAGAGGAAAAGATAAAGGACATTCTCGGGTTTTTAACGGCGAATGCAAGAAAAATGAACAAAATCCGCAGAAAGGCCGGTTTAGCCCACACAGTGCAAGCTACACTTGCAGTTAGTCTGTAAAATGTTTCATACATGTAATGAGTTCATTAACTCTTTTAAAAATCAATATCTCTCTCAGATGGAGCATCGAGGGAATATTAAGTTTGTCCATTATCCCCCTTTTCTGAATCAAAGCTTCTCCACTCAGCTCCCACAGTAATCAGCGATAAACACTTGGGAATCCAAAGAATCACACGCTGTTTTATTGAGTACATAAGCACGGCTAAAAGTCTAATCTAACATTTTCCCGCTGTACTTTCTGCATCTCAATGTTTGAAACCGTGGTATTTAAATCAAGCCGACACAGTGGAAAGTTTTCCTGTGGCCTTAACGTCTTAACCACGTGGAGACGACCTGCCTCCGACCTCTCATAAACTTTCGACATTTACTGTATGCATTTCCCGGTCGACGTTCCCTCTGTCACACCGTACCCTTCGGCATCGTAGAGATTGCGACTTGTTTAATTTTAATTTTGCAGTGACTCAAAAAAACGTGACATTCTGAATGTCACACTGCATATTTTAGCAGAGAACATTTCATACCAATGAACCCATACCTTTATGTTATGGTATGACATGCATTGTATAATATCAAGTCAACAAAGCAGAATAGAATATTGTATATATCCTGAGGACTTGCACAGAGCGCTGCACGAAAATACAAGATTTTCCTGGAGAAAATTGATTTGTTCTCTATTTTTCCACAGTTTTCTTAGACCACAAATTAGCAACAAGATCTGCTGCTTGTGTTTTGTTTCAATACTGTAGAAGGCCTCATACTCGGCGGTTTGCCCGTGGTTTGGCAGATGCATTTGAGCCGTGTTAAACTAGACGAGCTCCTCCTACAGCAGTGTTTGTGCAGCTTTTGGTAAGTCGCGGCTGTCTGGGGAGCACAGGGCGGGGGCTGCTTTTACACCTTTTCTGACATCACTTGTTTCTTTTGTCACAAATAGATTCCGCTTTCCAGTCGGCATGTGTCATAATCAAACAGCAAACGGAGTCGTTTTATTATTCTCTCATAGTGCCACTCCGCGTCTCTCTTGTGCATCTGGTAACGAATATTTAAAATACCCGATCGGAGTGTTCTGTGCCGTCGGAGGACTGGTTTCCGTTGTGGTTTGCCTTAACAGCAGCCTGGAGACCATTTCCACGTCTCTTTGCTGGACTTGAAACGCGAGTTGGTTGTTGACTCGCACGTTTTGTGCCGTAGAAGTGTCTTTAGGATGAGTCTGGGTGTGGCCAGAGTCCATAAAACAACCCACTGTTGGCGCTTCTCTCTGCCTCCGTCTGTTTCTGATTACTTTGACCCCCGCGCGTGTTACAGCAGCTGTAAGAACAGTAGTAAACAGAAATACCTAAAACAGACAGGGACTGCAAGCCGAGGCACGATCAGGGAGCGTTGCATCATCAAGTTTGGGTCATACATGTGCTCATTTGATTGACACGTGCATTGTAAGGGATGATGTTATCGACTGGAATAATTTTAAGAGGATTTTTTCAGATATTATTCACTCCAGGAGCATTTAAACACCTTGTTTTATTATAATAGACATCCGCTGCTTTAGTGTGACAAGTCATTCTCTGTCCCTGAACGGACCACAAGTGAAAAATATTTCAGTTACAACCGATTCAGAAAGCAGACGCGTGGGTGAGTTTACTGTGAAATGTGTCATAGGATTAATGACGTATTCTCATAGGAGAGCTGAAGTAAACCTTTTTCTCCGAACTTTTGCAGTAAAAGTTTTACTGCACACAGTGACAACCTATTCAGCCCAATGACGGAATGAAGCCATCGGAAATGTAACTGCTCTTAAAATGTCACCGTACGGCGTCTGTGTTCAGTTACCAGCGCAGCAGTTAAGTGCAAAGGACATTTAGTGACATTATTTGGTCTCGTGAAGGACGCTCACTGGGAGCACGAGATGTCCCCGATGGGCAGGAGCACTGGCCTTTGTCTTAGCAAAACGTCTGCCCAACTTCCACGCCGGCGTCTTCATGTTTAGTTATAGAGTTTGTGTTAAGATCTCTTTGGCCTGTCGTGACCTTTTTTGGCTTTGCTGTGAAGCAGCTGTCATTGTGAAGTGGCTTTCATAGGCTGACTTTTCTTTTGGCTTTGAATAGCAGAGAGAAAGAGCCCAGAACGTCGACCGAATGCTTCACTTGTGTATACATTTCAAAGACAATGAAGTTGTTTAGTGGTGCGGCAGTGCAGGGATTATTGATTATTGGATTTTCGGTTATAATTCAAATGGTTTTTTTCCACTTTCGCTGGTCATTGAAGGCTCTGAACAACTACTTTGAATATATATACCCAGAATGCATGATTATGCTACTGTGGTTTAGGCTGCACAGTTACATTAAAATATACAATTTCCCCACCTTGTTTTGAATCTAAGACTAAGAAAGACTAAGAATAATTTCCCAAATTTGGTCCCACAAAATCTTGCACTACCAACTATCTAGAATTAAAATCCAATCTAATCTGTGATCAGAAGAGCGGCAGATTTACACAATCAGGAAACTGGAACAGGGGGATGTTTTCTTGCATATGCATGCAAGATGTACTGACGAGATTAATGAATTATCAAAGTAGTTCAAACATGTTTATCACTCAGTCAATTAATTTGGATAGGATGCGAATAGGTTAATTATGTTGGCATAATTGCATATTTTGACATATTTACCTGTGAAATATTGTTTTTCCAGCCTTCTAGGGGTCCCAGCGCGTGTAGAATTTGATACTCGTCCCAAGCAGCATCTTCTAGCTGCAGGTCAGAGCTAAACTGAGTGTGTGTGATGTAGCTGGGCCCCTCTGACAGGTGTGTTTTTTTACATATAGAGAGGCCTCACAGGTTCAGTGTTTGATTTCAATGATGGGTTTCATGTAAATTAGATACAGACTTGGCGGCATAATAATTCAAGAGGGAAATAACGATATGTTGACACATACAGACACACGGAACAAACATACCATCTGAAATATGTCTCTTCAAAAGCCTCCACATCTCAAACGTTGTTCTGCAACCAAACACAAACCTATTTGTCTGTGTCACATAAAAAGGAGCTTGGGTTGTTCTTAGGTTTCTTTCTCTTTACCGTTGCTGTCAGGAATCCCAAGCGTCCCATTACACCTTAAAATAAAAGTTTTATAAATCCGAAAACCAAACTTACCAAAACTCCGGTTCGTCACAGCTAAATTCTGCCACCTCCACTTTTTTTTCAGTCCACCTAAACGATTCAAGAGGCTCAGAACGACCATTCACAGGCTCGCAGAACAAATGCTCACGACTTCTTCATGTCAGGGAAGAAGAAGAAGAAGAAATGCACACACACACACACACACACACACACACACACACACTCAATTAGGGTTTGGCTGGAGAGCGTGGCCGTCTCCTGTCTGCTGCCGGGAGGGAAAGGTAGGGGAGGGGGACGCATGTAGAAAAGGCTGAGGCTGAATGATTTCTTTCTTTGCAGTGGAAATAGGGGCTGGCAAGAGGAGGGGCGACGAGGGGGAGTAATCTACTTCACATCTGCGGGCTTTGATGGGGGAAGAGGGTTCCTTGGTGTGGGGGGAAAATGTGCTTTATGACGAGGCTGCATATGCATTTCTTATTCATTCTAAGGATACGACGTGAGTGTTTTAAAACGCGAAAAAGAACACCAAGCTCTTTTCCCGAGCAAATAATAATAAAAGTCTAGTTGCCGTAATTGTGATCTGCACAGTTCAAGAGGTGTAAAACACTTTAATATCCAAATTGTCAGCTACCTTCCTCTGGTGATACGATTGCTGATCTTTTGTTTTAGGCATTGATGATGTGATGATTAGCTTCATATATTGTTGCATCCCTTTATCCGCGGTGAAGGAGTCGCATTTCACAGCAGCTGCGGAACCCAATTGGATAAAATGATCATGATTACCGAGGCGGTGTAGAAGACAAGGCCTAGCATTAAGGATACAATGGAGATGGAGCATCTTCAGATCTAATAACCAAGTTGTGGTTCTTTTGTGGGCCATCATATATTAGCAGAGTGCTATTTAACAGCAGGTATGAATGGGTCATTTTTCTCTCCCTGCGGAGATGTTTGTATTTTCTTTATAGCAGAATAACAGACAGCACAAAAGCTAGAAAAAATAATCCACACGTCGCTGGACAGGCAGGTGGGTTCACTGGGAAGAAAAGAAAGAAGAAGAAATTCAATTCTTAATGTTGGAGGTACAAATGAACATCAGCCGCCTGTACCTTTTATCCTCACTTCACATTGCATACTGGTCACTTTTGCAGGTTGGTATAAATTGTAGCACAGTTTAGTTTACTAAACTTATTTTCATAAGCTCTGTCCTAACTTGAACAGAATTACACTACCCTCAACATTTGTATTGTATTATGTGCGTATTTCGTCTTTCAAATCTTAAAGGCTGTTGGAAATAAACCTTGGAAGCATCTCCTTTGAGTCACACACGTTACCCTCACATTGCAGCCAGCTGCTGCTGTCAAACAGTTAAAAGCCCTCGGCCATGTTTACACATGCATGTAGCATGTCCAAGATGCTCCATTATTCTCAGGAAGCAAGGCACCATATGGGAGCTATTTTTCATTCTCAATGTAAACCATAACTGACCTCAACGTCCTTGACCTTTGCAGTGGATGTTAGATGGAATGCAGCAGCTTCCATCGAGTCCCCAGGTAAAATGTTTTAGAGATAACGAGCCCTGTCCTTCGGAGCGCAGTATTTCTTTCGAAGGGATTGGATTATTTAACCGGAATGTTTACAAAATGCACAGTAGATTAGACCGACCGAGAATATATATTGACCGAGAAACTGTTTCGGCGTTTTCTAATTGGCCGGCAGCTCGTGTGCCCCGAGGGCCGCTATTGAGCAAGGACTCTCCGCTCTCTGCAGCCACTTATCCACGGGCTGCGCACAGGCGACGAGTGCCACGCTGTGCTGCAGCTGATAAACTCTGCTAATCCACTCACAGTTCAGGCTTCTCCTCTTAGTGCTCAGCACCAGTGTGTCGCCTTTTAACCGCTCGGGTCGGAGCGCCTCGGGAGGAACGGTCGGGGATTTCGTTCACTTTTTCACATTCGTAACACGTTGGATTGATGTGAGATGCGTGGTGCTGTTTGGTAACAGTGACATATTGTAACGCATTGCTCAATTGTTTATCAGGCATTTGGTTTTAAATGTAGCTATTTGGATTTTCTTTTCTTACCCCTTAAATACAATGAAACAGTCACACAAGCTTTTAGACAATGATTCGTTTTCAATATCAAATAAGTAAAAACAACAATATTGAGGAATAGCGGTTCTTAATGAATGAATTCCTTTAATCGAACCAAAAGACAGGTGACAGCGCCGTCCCAGGCGAGAAATGAGAACCGTCCGACTGAGTCGCTGTCACCATTGCTCATGTTTGGACGTAATCCACGACGGCTCGCAGCCGGGGCGATGAGGTGATGAGGAGGCGGCGCCTGATGCTTGGAGACAGCCGCCTTAAAACAATGCATAAATTCTAATAAAACTTGAATTTGAGGTGAGCCAACGCTGGCGCACACACAGAGGGATGAGGAGACGAGACACGCAGCAGACACACAGGATTGTGTGCGCCGTCCACAGCGCTAGTTGACTCATCATGATGCATTTTAGTACCGTCATTTCTAGTTATTTTGCTCTTATCATTTATCACTCAACCAGCGGGCATTTATATACAGACACAAATATGATTTGGCAAAAAAAAGAAAGAAAATGAGCCATGAAATCAGGTTTCCCTGTAGATTGTTTTGTCATTTTGATTGGCATCTGTCCGCAACAGCGGACTGACTCCCTGCAGACACAGAGCGCCGCTGCCTCGCCTTCAGTAAATCGTGTGTAACCAGCATCAGAAAGCAAACTAACACTTTCATATGAGTTAGCTCTATAGAGAAGTCGACCGGGTCTCTGCTGATGCTGCATTGCCAAATTGTAAATATGTTACTCTAAGAGCGGTGCTTTGGAAGGCGCAGGTTGAGTTGTGATTGGCTGTGATTGATGTAAGCCCCCAGCACACCCACTGCCGCTGTGTGATACTGGTCCCCTCTAATCCCACCCCATTACCCAAAGGGCCACGGGTCACAAAGATATCTGAAGTGCCATCTTGACCGCATTTAATGCGGCACATCTTGTTCCCTCAAAAATAGCACAATCCTACATGGCGTTTTAGGTGGAAACTGCGAGGCTGGGAGTTAAATCCGTGTTTCAGCCAAAGGGCGCTTCGGTCCGCACGAGCTGTCCGGGCTTTGCTAAGTGTTTCACAGCAGATGCCAAAAAACGCAGACCTCCATCCGGGCCTCGTTATATAAGCGGCAGGAAACGAGACGTCCCGAGGACACGGCGAACACTGATCAATCAGACTGACACTGATTTGGACCAACGGAAAGACAACGTGTCATAGGCAGTGTCCTTTTACATCCCAGTTTCCTTAGTTTAGGTTCAATGCCATTAAATGCTGCAGGATTAAAATGAGATAATGTCAAAATGCAATCAGGGAAACGTAATTAGCCACGTTTGTGTTCTTCCTGGAGACCACAAGCACAAAGCAGATGACTACAGATCTATAGAAGCCCTCGCACAACTCATCTTACAGGTATTTCTCCACAAAACGTATATGAATAATGTAATTTGACGCAACATATCACAATGTCAACAAAGATAATAAGCTTGTTTCCATATATTATACCATCAACTTTTTATGGACAATTCAAACAGTGAAAATGTGCTCGTAATCCAAACAATTTTGCAACTTTTTTTAAGCGTCATGTTGAATATGTCATTGCAATATCATTATGAACTTGGACATCTTCCATCACAAATGAAATCATCGATGTGGTTCAGCGTTTATTGTCCAGTCCATCAAAGAACATTGAGTACTAGGTACCCGTTTGAGATTGAGAGAGCGCATCACAAGAGAAAGTGGAGAAGGCCATAGTATTTGAGCTTGAATTTTCAAAATATCTGTAACGCACCACAAGAGACAGGAGTGAAACCCAAGCGCAGAGCGCAGCTTTATTGTGGAAGTACAGACAAGGGTTAGGCGTGGTCGAGTCCAGTAGGCGGGCAGAGGGTCGAAAGCCAGGAGAGCGGGGATAAACAGAGGCACCGTCAGGGGGTCAGGCGTGGTCGTATCCGGAGTACAGGCGAGTGGTCGAAAGCCGGGATTACGTGGAGTTAGGCAGAAGTACCGTTGAGGATCAGGCAGGCAGGAACGAGGTCTGGGACAAACGAGAGGTCAATAACAGGCAAGAACAGGAGATCGGGAAAACGCTCGGAATGTGATGGAACATGCACAAGACTTCGCAAGGAGCTTTGGGGAGTCACAGGCTTAAGTACAGGGCTGGCTCTGATTAGTGACGAGCCCCAGGTGAGTCGGTGGGCTGATCCCAGATGGCACAAACCATTATGGCTCAAAACAGAGGGGTGACTGAGGTCCCGATCTTCGCACCTCAATATTCCGGGGACGGGGAGCGTCTGCCTGTGACAATATCCATAATGTACAGCCGGGGGGGAATGTAGGCCAGTTTGCTAACATTAATGTTTTGATATTCAGCACCATTCATACACCACTGCTGCCTGAAGCTAAATGGGAAATAGCAAACGTTATCAAAAGGAGTTGGACACCATTACAATTAATATGTAATGCAGTTTTTAAAACATGCCATGAAAAAATGATCACGTAGTTGGCTGAACAGCTCTTTGACTCAAATTCAGCAAAAATGGAATCATAACAGAAGCAGCGTTTGATTCTACATATTCTCATGCTGTGTCCATGTGCTCGTGGTTTTAGATGGACTTGTAAATAATTACCTCTGATGTTTTGCCAATTTCAAAGCTCAGAAAGCAACATAACTCCTAAGAATCCGTACTTTCATTGAGAGCATATTGCACACACAATCCGTGCGTCCGTAAGACAGAGATAACAAAATGTCTGTCGGCAGATTTTCAATTATTTGTGCTCTGCCACAGCTAGAAGTTTCTACGAGCTTTAAAGCTTCTACTGGTTGAACAGTGACAGGTGAGTTCGAGCCTCCGTGCCGCTCGCTGGCAGAGGTTCAGTGCACCGTGCCGCTGTCACACCTGTTCACACCGTTTGCTGGATGTCAGAGATACAGGCCTCTGGCTTCCCGCAGTCCCTGAAGTGGGCGGGAGGAATCACAGCAGGACAGGAAGCAGCTCACAAGCCACTAACATCTAAGATCTCTTGGGGTTCATTCGCTACGGTGAAGCCGAAACCAATCTTAAAACAGCAAAGTAAAACTCTTCAGCCGGCTGCACTTCTGCAGTCTTATACGCGCTAATCCTTAGTTCTGGTCTTATTTTTGATCTTGCTTTTATTCCCGTCCCTCCCTTTCCTTGCTAATATCCTTGAAGTTAAGGCTATTGTTAGAAAAGCGATAAAGGACCTTTAGGCGACAATTTATCCAATAAAGCAAGTTAAGACTAAGTCTGTTACACCATGTAAGTCACAGATGAAGATTCCCTCTCTGAAGGAACACTTTCTTTTACGACTATGAGCAGTTTTCCTGCTCAAATTGTTTTATTTGAAGTAGTTTAGGATTTAGAATATCTAGAAGATGAAAGGAAAAACATAAATTTACTATTTTATTTGATGAGCTATTTGATTCACTACTTTGTTAAATATCCAAAACAACTTCAATTATATTGGGTTAAAAAAGTTGTTTTTGTATCCTCTTGAGGTGGATATTTCTAAAAACATAAAAAATATAGTATAGTAGGTATAGTAGCAAGTCAGCTGAATTCACAACCTCTATCTCGCGGTGCCCCTCTGGTTGGTAAATGGAAGCAGGTCAGCGGCAGAAAAGTGAGAATCTAGACCCCAGCTGCTTCCTCGTCCAAGCCGGGACTCCTAATCAATACCAGGCAGCCAAAAGAGACGTATCGAGAAATTGTCAGGGGGTCGGGGTCACAAATACCCGGCAGGTCTGGTGTGGCAAATTGAACACGGGGATTGCAAGAGTGCGCGGGGTGCTGATCCATCTGAAGGAAGACAAAGAATAGAAATATTCCATTGTATTCCTCCCCTGTAGCTTAATACTGAAAACGTTTCATCAGAAAGAAGTTCTGGAAAAAGTTTTATTTTCGGTGTTTGGTTTGTTCCTTCAAAAAGTGGCATTTGGACTGGAAAGCGCGATCAATCCCCTCCTTCCTTTTATCCTCTCTGGATGCTGGTTGTCCGGCGGCTGCCCGCCATCGGCATTCAGGTCACAGCTGCGCCGAATGCACTCAAGATGGCAGTGAGGGAATCGGGCCGTCTCTTCAGGCTCCCTTCAGTTTGCTTTAATAATGGGATTTCCACACGTCACACACACAAACTCACTGGGCGCTAATGTGGGGGAATAATATTTCCTCGAAAAGGTTCACTTGGGTCCCAAATTGAATTTTTAACGTTACATTGATTTTAAAAGGCTGGCTGTAGCACTTGTAATGCCCAGAAAAATAGCAGTGTGCTCCAGCGAGCAGCAAGCAGAGGATTAAATGTTGGCGCCGCTGCGAATATGCCACTACTGGTACAAATCATACTTTTAACACTGACGATTTAAGCCTACTGTAAATGTGTGCTGTTATCCGGAAGCATGCTGGGTGTGGAATCTCGGGTTGTTTTTCGCTTGATGCTCCTCATTTCCTCTCGTTTCCTGCACTCGTTTCCTGCACTCCCACCTTGGCACAAATACACACACACA